GCCCAGCGTCTAACAGCTTTTTTACTTCGGAGGCTGTCGCCTGATTTATCTCCTCGCCATGGTTTCTTTTCTTTTGCCTAACCGACTTCTTTTTAGGATCCACAAAAAGTTTCTAAACAGCACGATCCGGACTTATGCCTGGCATCTCTTCCACTTCAAAGGCAAAGATGTCTTTGAATTCTTTCAACAGATTGTGCAAGTTTGCACCTAAGTTCGCAAAAGCAGCCGTCCCAACCTTTTGCTCTGGACGTGTGTTGTCCAGAGCAATATCAATGTGTTCACCAGCCGGCTGGGGACGGAGTTCATCTGACCGTTCCCCCGTCAGTGATTGCTATTGTTTTTCTTTTTTGATGGCCACCAACTGGTCGGCCTTTCTTTTCTTGCCGGCTGCTAATGGATCAGGCGCAGCATCCTTGACTTCGTCAAGGTCTATTAGTTCGTCACCCTAGCCGGATGCAGCCACTTTGGGCTTGACGTTTGAGAGGTAGCACTCTCTAGCCGTCTTCTGATCTCCGCTTAGGGAGCCGATACCCATTATCCTTCTCAAATTTATGAAGCATAAGGGATAGAATAATAACAGCCTTGGATTCGTTTAGAGTGGGACGATCCAATATCAAATTATAGGCGGTTAGTTCTTCAACGGCCAAGAACCGGACTACCATGTGGCGTCCTTCTCCCTTATCCCCTAGCCGGATGGATAGGTCAATTCGGCCTACCGGATGCACAACTATACCCCCAAAACCAACCAAGGGATAAGATACTTTGTGCATACTGTTGGGCTTGTACTTGAGCTTTTCCAAGCACTTGTGGCTCATCAGATCAGATGAACTGCCAGTGTCAATGAGGATCCTTCCTACCTTTTGGTTGGCCACTTTGCATTCAATGACTATAAGGTCATCATGCGGCCGCCTAACCTTGCCCCTGTCTTTTTCAGCGATGACAACTTCAGGGAAGGTGTTCTTAGACGCCTGCCCCTCGTCCACTGAGCTGACATCTAGCCGCTTGACGTAGTCCTTGGTGCCCCGGATGGTTAGGCCTCCTCCAACAAAGCCGCCTGCTGTTGTATAGATTGGTTCTTCATTAGTGTTCGAACTATTAGCAGGTTGGGACTTCTTTTTGGACGGTTGCCCATGGTCAGTTCGTAGGGTAACCTTAAACCTCAAAATATATGACTTTAGCACCTCTTTATCAGCCAGACGGTCCAACAGCCGCTTGAGACTATAGCAGTCGTTGGTGTCATAGCCAATGTCCTCATGGAAGTGACAATACTTTTTTTGTTCCGATTTTTGGCGAAACCTTTCATCACAGCCGGCTTCTCAATTGTCATCCGGTCTTTAATCTCTATGAAGATGGAGTAACAGTCCTTGTTAAACTCGTACTTTGGGATGTACGGTTTAAATTCCTTCTTTTTCTTCTGGGACGGCTGCTCAGAGTTGTTTGCTGCCCATATCTCTTTTCTCTTTTTATTTACTTCTTTTTTAGCCGGCTATGATTGTCGACTCTCTTTTTTGTCAGATTTCTTGGAGTCCGACTGCTTACTGATGTTACAGAGTTTGGTCGCCTGTATATAGGTGTCCGCCTCCATCAGAGCTTCTTGGAGGGTAGCAACCCTCTTTCTGACGAGGTCGAACTTAAAGGTTGACCCGTCTTTCAAACCTTTGAAGAAATCTGTATAGGCCACTTCATCAAACTACCCTTGAATCTGAATCCCCATCAGATTGAACCGCCTGATATATAATCGTAGTCCTTCTCTATCTCCCTACTGAATTGCACCCAAGTCAAGACTTGTTTTCTTAGCAGGGATGTTCATAGAGAAGTTGGAAGTAAACAAGTACGCAAGCGTCTTGAAGTTGTTGATGCATCCGGCTTGCAGGTTGCCGAACCATCATTGGGCGACGCCCTTCAATGTGGTCGGGAAGCATCGACACCATGCGGCATCATCCAACCCCTGTAAATACATGAGATTGGTGTAAGCCATGAGGTGATCTTCTGGGTTGGTGGTACCATCATAGGTACCTACCAGAACATTTTTAACCTTGGCTGATTGTGCAGCCTCGGTTATTTCCTTGGAGAACGTAGAAGGTTGTTCCCGAAGCTGCTAGTCCAAAGGTTGGACGTTGTGTGTCGCCTGCCCCCCAAAGAGGGCCGACTACATGTATGGTTGTCCATACAACATGTATGGCTGCTGAGGCACATACGGAGCCGAATGGATTATTTGAGGGCCAGAGTGGATGGACATGCCACATGACTGACCCTCTCGGTTTGATTGCGAATACCTCATTGAGGTATTTTGAAAGTTGTCTGGGTAAGTCGACGTTGAAGCTGACTCAGACAGTTGTTGACTTTTCTTCTGCTCAATTAGCATCCGAGCATCAGCATATGTCTTTTTTGAACCATCCACCTGAACATGTAGGATGACCTTCCTTTTCCCTGTCTTAGGGAATCGGATCTTGGACGAATCAATCAAGGGCCGATTCCCCTCCTTTGTTTTAGGATGTGGAGTAGGGACACGATCCTTGACTGGTTTATTCTTCTCTGAAAGAGAAGGTTTCCTGGCCGACTGCCCCCTGTTGGGGCCAGCCGTCCTTTTCTCAATTAAGTCCTTTATTTCCCCTTTGAAACTAGTGATGAATTTCATGAGTTCGTCTCTAGTAACTGGGGCTGCGCCTTCTGCCGCATGGGGTTGTCTAGACAGCTGTTTAGTTGGCTCACGTGGACCAACTTGATCATTGCCCCATTCCTTTATTTCTAAGGGACTGGTGCGCCTGGTTCTAAGTGAACCGTCGGCAGCTACATAAGTGTCGACGTCAAAGTTGTCACCACTGTCCTGGTCTGAGTAGACCTGGACTTCGGCCGAAGGCCGCTTATCAGTAGGAGGCGGTACAGACTCATGTGATTCCATCTTAGAAGTACTCTCCCCACAGATGGCACCAAATGTCTCGGGGTTTTCTGTGTCCCTCAGGAGAGTTATAATTCCAAGACTGGACTCCGGGCGCCTATACCTGCAAAACAACGGAGACTCCGGTTGGGTGGAGTTCTGCCTCCGACGATCAAGTTAGAACATGTTCAGAAGACATAAGATGCGGAATGTAAAGTGAGATTAGGTTTCTCTATTGAGAGAAATGATGATCCGCCTATCACAAACATCCTCAGTATCCGAGTGTTTCACTCTCGTGTGTAATTAATTCTGCAATTAATGCTCTATCTGATTAATTAATCTAATCTCTCTCGTTGAATAATTAATGTGTGTGTTTCCTAAGAGGAAACATCTCCCTTTTATAGGGTATGGAAATACGTGCCCATCCTAGGTTACAGAAAACCTAGGACTGACGGGCTGCCTAGGGATTTGGGCCTTGAAGGCCGCCAAGTCCTCGCTGCATATCTGTCTGCCATGTGTCGAGCCCCGATATGTCCACTTTAGGCTCTCCTTAGGGTGACCCGTGGCGGACTCTAATTGGTCCACGTGGCAGGGTAGAAATACCTTAATCAATTATATAGTAGAATGTGCTAACTAATAATCAAATCATAATTAGTATACAAACATGTTTTTAATAATGTATAATATAGAGATTGATTGACGTATTAAATGATTTTAATTTTGCATATTTTTTCTAAATTAATTTCTATTATCATTGTTTTCTTTGAAAACTTAATGCCAATAATTGTGTTTGATTGATATCAAATCTAACTTTACTAATTGTGTTCTAATATTAAATATTCCAATTTTTTAAATTTTAGGAAAATTTGCCAAGAATAATACGACCTTTTAGTGGTCTTTCAAGAATGGAACAACCTTTGGATTATTTCAAAATGTAACGACCTTTGATACGCATCTGCAAAAAAAATGGAATAAAAAACCTGTAACCTGTTTTACAGGTTACATTTGACATGTGTCAAATGCGTGATTGGTTAAATTTTTTTTTTTTTTATTTTAGCATTATTTTTAATAATAATGATTTACAAAAATTAAATTTAAATTAAAAAAAACTTTTTAAAAATAAAAGAATTAAAACTTAAAAACAACTGAAATTAAAAAAATAAAAACCCTCCCCCTTGCCAACAGCCCCCCTACCACCACTCGCTCCCTCTGGCGGCCAGAGCCCCCTACCCGACGCCGCAACACCCTCTTGACCCAGACCTCGACTACCAAGCCCCCTACCCGACGCCGACGACACCTTCCTCACCCAGACCCTGACCACCCAGCCCTTCCCCTTCCCCTTCCCCTTCCTCTAAACTACCTTTCCCCCACCCTAATATCCCTTCCCTCCCCTTGAAAAATTCTCCCCTCCCCACCGGCCGACGCCTAAACCCACTTCCTCGTGCCGGAGAACCCATTTCGCCCCTCCGCCTTCCCCCCTTGAACCACCACCCATAAACCCTAAAACCCCAAAATCGAGTGGTGGTTATAGGGTTTTTGACTTTTGGAAAGGTGGCTTAGGGGAAGGGGAGGTGCTAGATGGTCGGGATCTGGGTCAGGAGTGTGTCGCTGGCGCCGAGTAAAGGGCTCTGGCCACCGGCAGGAACGGGTGGTGGTGGGGTGGCTGCCAGCAAGGGGGAGGGGTTTTCTTTTCTTTAAATTTTTTAATTTCAGTTTCGCTTTTTTTTTTCTCTCTCTCTCTCTCTTTTAAAGTATTCTTTTATTTTGAGGATTTTTTTAAAAAAACAAAATTGCTAAAAAGAAATTTCAATGACATTGTGACACGTGTCGCAGGTAACCTATTTTTAATAGGTTACCAACAGGTCACGTCCCATTTTTTGCAAATGTGTGTCAGAGGTCGTTCCATTTTAAAAAAATCTAAAGCTCATCATTCCATTTAAGGAAGACCGGTGAAAGGTGATGTTATTCCTGACAAATTTTCCTAAATTTTAACTGTTGACAATTTAATGTCATTGATTTTTCCACCCTTATTTACTGATTTTTTTTACAAAAAATTTTAGTTATCGGATAAATAATTGTCTAAAATGCTCCAAATCCAATATAGTGTTCAATGATAATTGACTTAGCATATTTTGGTAATTGTAGGGGGACACAACCTCCCTCTCAGCTTATATAATTTTTTTGGTTCATATGAGCCACTTAGGGCGGGGATGAGAATCAATCCCAAGATCACCTGGAACCGAGAGGAAAGCTCTTACCAACTAAGCTATCCCTCACTCTCTCTCAGCTTATATAATAGAGTTATAATAGAAGAGAAAAATGGCCTTCAATAGTTTTCAATCAGTTATTGGATTTTCTGATAGTTACCTTACATGCTAAATATTAAATCCCATTAATATTGCAAGATCTTTTTATACAAAAAATTAAGGAAAAAGGTAACAATTAGGGATTAAACTTTTTTTACTTTTCACCTTTTGCGATCTGAACTTTTTTCTTTCACTGTTTGAGACCTTAGAAAGAATTTCAGTTGAAAAAATTAACTATGGTTAAGTGGTGGGTCCACTAATTATTTTAGATTCTAATTTATTTACAAAAGAGAATTTTTGTTTAAAAACAAAAAAAAAAAAAAAAAAAAAAAAAATTGTGTTAGGCGTTTTTACCCCAAAAAATTACTGCACAAAATACAGTGCCTTTTCAACTCCACTCTTCATCATCAACCACGTCTCTCCTGTTTGTTCTCCCTTTCAAAAAAAAAATAAAAAAATATTGAAGCTTTGAAGGCGATTTTGGTGCAGATTATTAGCGGTTTTTCAAGCATCTTAGCACAAGTAAGTTCTCTATGAATCTTGTACAACTTGTTTACTTCAATTTTTGTTTTTTATCATAATTTATTGCTGGGTTTAGGGCTTATTTTTAATAAAATCTTATGGGTATTCATGAATTATGATGCTGAGATTGCTCCTGAGTGTTGTTATAGTGTTGAATTTATTTGTTTGTTCTTGTATTTTAGAATTTCGAATTTCAATTTGGGGTCAATTCAGAATTATTGTGTTTATACGATTGTTTCTGACCTGTGTAAAATTGCTTTTGAAACCATACCCACCAATTTCCATATTCTATATCTTTCGACAATTCAGTCACTTGATGGTAACTATAGGCCCAATCAATATATGCTCTGCAATTCTCATTTTGCTAGGTGACACAATACTTGTATAATTACCAAGTATAAAGTTTGGCAAGATAACATCCACACCACTACCATCTCTTCCTGCCATGTCCCCGTAGCAAAAGTGAAATAGGTAACAAAAAGAAACAAAAGGTTGAAAGTTAGGGAGCTAGTTTACCACTAAGGATGAAAGAAAAGATTTAATTCTCATAATTTGATTATATAGTTTAATGATCAAATGAACTTCTTAATTGTGGAATTTTGGAATTTTGATGATATTATGTAAGTAATGAGAAACAGAACAGAACAATTATATAGTTCAAATGATCAAATGAACTACTTAATTCCGGCAAAATTAACTGTGTCAATCTAAAACGAACTGAACAATTATATAGTCCATGTAATTGATGGTCAATGGATTTTGTAAGTTGTAAGTCCACTGACTTGTTATGATGTAAAATTTGGTTTAACCAATATAAATGACTTTTATGATTTAGGTACAACTGAGTTTCCGATTTATTATCAAATTTGAATCTAATTTAGTTTCACTTGTTTTGCTATTGTTTTTTATGCTTATTGAACATTTGGTCAACTGAACTTTATAGGTATGGAGGTACCACTATGCATTATTCTTCATCATGGTGGAAGTGGGAGAACACTCCCGAGTTCAAATATGTTGGGGGAAGTATCAAGTTGATCAATGACATTGCTTCTGATTTTGATGCAAGTTATTTGAAAGCTTTCATTGCATACTTAGGGTATAGTAACATAATTAAGTTACACTATTGTGATCCACTCAAGAGTTTGCGTAATGGTGTTATATTTTTGGGATATGAGGATGTCATATTCACTAAGTTCAAAAGCTTATTGTATGAGTGCGGAATGATAGATGTCTTTACAGACCATGATGATGGGGAATATGGTCAGAACTTGACTAAAGAAAAGTATGGTAATGTCCCCGAGGACATAGTACAAGGTGAGTTGGATGGTGCTATAACTGAGACTGATTTGCTTGCCACTCAAGAGCATGACATTGCTGTTGACTACACTAAAAAAGATGTTAAAAATCTCTTCCATTGGAATTCAGAAATACACTAAGTAACTACTCTGTGTCAATAGGAAGAGATTTGCACTACACTAAAAATGATGCTAAAAAAACTAGGAGTAAAGTGTAAGGAGCAGAGCTGTCCTTTTTACATTAGGGTTTCACTAGAGAAAGGGAAGAAAACCATGACTGTCAAGACATTGAAACCACGACACAACTGTGGGAGGGTAGCACAAATGAAGAAACTAAGAGCTAAGTGGATTGCAAAGACATATCACAATAAGTTTAAAGTCAACCCATACCTGAAGTGCCAAGAGATTGTTGATACAATCTGGTCAGCGTGGGGAGTTAAAGCATCTTTGTGGTTAGCTTTAAAAGCAAGAAGGGCAGCTCAGAATGTGATATTGGGGGAGTATGCAGAGCAATATGGATTGTTGTATAGGTATGCTAATGAAATAAAGAGGTCCAATCCACAAAACACAATTAAATTCAAGTTAAATTCAGGTGTGTTTAAGAGGGTGTATATGTGCTTTGATGCTATTAAGAAGGGATTTTTAGATGGTTGTAGGCCGTTCTTTGGGATTGATGGTTGTTTTTTGAAAGGTCCATTTGGAGGAAAGTTACTTGTTGTTGGTAGGGATGGAAACAACCAGATGTTTCCTATTGCTTGGGCCTGTGTTGAAGTTGAAAGCACTGAGACTTGGGGGTGGTTTTTACAGTTATTAGTTGATGATTTGGGAACCCCGGATGGTTTTGGATACACAATTATGTCAGATCAACAAAAAGGGTTGCTCAAAGCTGTTTCAATTGTTTGGATAAGAGCTGATACAAGATGTTGTGCAAGACATGTGTACTGTAACTTCAGACAAGTTTTTGGGGGTGGTCTATTTTATAGAAGAGGGTTTTGGAAGATTGCCAAAAGCACAACTGAAAATGGCTTCAAAAGAAACATGGAATTATTTGCTGCTATTAGTCTACCGGCAGCAAAGGGCTTATTGAAAAGAAACTACAAAAAATGGGTAAGAGCTTTTTTGACAACTACACGTACTTGTGAGAGCATAGAGAACAATATGAATGAAGTTTTCAAAGCATATATCCTAACATCAAGACATAAACCTATAATCACCATGTTAGAGGACATTAGGGAAGGTTTGTTGGAAAGATTGCATAAGAAGAGAGATTTCATTACTAATAAAGACATTGAAATATGTCCAAGGTTACAAGCAAGGTTGGAAAAGTCTAAGTTAGATGCTAGAGGTTGGTCTGCATTTTGGGATGGACATTTCACATATGGTGTCAGGGAAGGCAACACAGGTTAGATATGTTGTAAGTTTGCTTGAGAAGACATGCAGTTGCAATGCTTGACAGCTAAGTGGAGTCCCTTGCAACCATGCCGTGGTTGCAATTTGGAAAGCACATGAACACCTAGAGCATTATGTGTCTAAGTACTACAGTAAAACAACATATTTAAAAGCATATGCATTCCAATTAGAGCCCCTCAATGGACCCCAAGAGTGGCCTACATCAACAAAAACACCTATTCAAGCTCCTCCATTGAAAAATCTTCAAAACAGACCCGCCACTAAAAGAAAGCTTTCATTAGGTAAAGTTAAGCCCACCAAATTGTCAAAAAAAGGCACATCACAAACACACAAGTGCAGCAATTGCAAAGAACCTGGTCACAACAAAAAGAAGTGTCATTGGCCACAACAAAATCAAACTGTCAACTACAATGCACCAAAGCAACCAAAGAAAAAGACACATATTACTGCAACCCCAGCAGCTTCCAGCACACAGCAATCCCAGGTAATCAAAGACACTTACCCAAACGGGTGTCAAAGACAATCAGTGGTAAGAAATCTCCCCGCAATGCTCTTTTATTTTTGTTCCTTCAAAAGTAAATAGATTGCAAATTTTCTTTTCAGGGTACAATTATACCTCAATCAAGTCATTCATATGTACCAAGTCAGTCTTGTCATGGATCAAACACAAATCATTTGACACAACAAAGTTCATTGTACAGTAGACCAACAAGATTGTTCTAATTTCATTAAAATGCAAGGTAAAAAAATCATCTTCTTAATTCAATTATCAACATCAAAGTAATGCCCTAAGAATAAATATTTGAAAAAAATTGCAATTTGAAAATTTTTAACTACATCTACGGCTTCAACAATTCATACTCATGATTGTAGGCTAAAGAACTTGACTTTTGGAGAGCAAGAAAAAAACTGTTGCTTTTGGTTGTCAGATGATATGATCAAGTAAATTGGAGATCATATGATCAAAGAAGGCTTGTTGCTTTTTTTTTTTTTTTTTTTTTTTTTGGCTTGCTGCTATTTTGGATGTTGGATACTGTTGCTTTTGGATGTCATTGTTTTGGTTTTCTATATTGTTGTTTGCTCTTTTTTTTTTTTTTTTTTTTTTTTTTTTTTTTTTTTTTTTTTTTTTTTTTTTTTAGGAGTTTTAAAGTTGATATTCACGATCTGATTTTGTTTTGGAAATGTTGAACTTTTTTTTTTTTTTTTTTTTTTACTCCAATTAATGCTTAGGTTGGTTAGTAAGATGGGTTAAATTATTTAAGAATTAATCACGGGTCTCAAACGGTGAAAGACAAAAGTTCAGGTCTCAAAAGGTGAAAAGTGAAAAAGTTTAGTCCTTAATTGTTACCTTAACTCAGAATAATCAAGTTATAAAGTGCATTAATTTAAGCTACAAAATTTCAAAGCATATTCAATTCACAAATTCTTATATGTGGCTGGGCGCACCGTGTGCCGGCCATCATGGACGTTACTTCATTAGCGTTATAGGGGTTACTCGGTCGAGTACATGGATTACTTCGTTAATATTATAGGGGTTAAATTACTCGGGAATATAATAGCGGTTACTCGGTCAGCATTACAAGGGTTATTCAGTCAGTGTTATAAGATTTATTTTGTTCAGTTACAAACAGCCACATGGTGTGGCCAGCTGCACACAAAACGCATTGTATCCAATTACTAAAAAAATAATCAACAACAAAAAATAACCATAATTCGTAGGTTGTTTTGGCTAGCTTTTTATGAATAAAGAAACACTAATATGTGAATAATCAACTTTTTTTGTAAAAAAAAAAAAAATAATAATAATAATAAAAAAAAAAAATTATTGGCTTTAATTTTTCAACTAATGTTCATAATTTCATAACCAATGTTTTTGATGTTTTAATTTTAAATTCGTCAACATGTTATATCTATTTTAATTTGCAACATACAATATTTTATGATGTCAATATAACGAATTTATATTTATTTACAACTTGTTTGGATACAATTTTAAGAAGGAAGGGGAAGAAAGGGGTAGGGAGGGGAGGGAAGAGAAGGGGAGGGGATGGAGGAAGAAATTCACCTCCCTTGTTTGGATAGAGGAAAAAAGGAAGGAAGGGGAGGGAAGGGGTAGCTTGACTTGCATGAGCAAACAGAACCATTCACCATTTTGCTGCAACATTGCACAAACAAAAATATAGTAATTAAATAATGAAAATCAATTGGATCAACAAAGATGGTGAATAATCCATGTCAACATATTGCAAGTAGCAATTGATAAATCGATTCACACAAAAAGCTTGAGCAAGACATTGCAATTGAGGATTATCTTGGGAATTAGGTTTTCGCAATTACAAAAATTGCAAAAGTAAGGTTGAATCTTCGAAAATTGCAGCAAATTCGACTCGTCGTTGGTTGAGGATAATAGATTCGAGATTGAATTTCTAGAATATTGCAGCAAATTTCTGAAGAAAATCGCAGCTATGAGCAGAGGATGAGGAGAGAGAAGGGTTCGAAGAAAATAAAAGGGTAAAATTGTCTTTTCATGATAATCAGTTTGTATAATCAATTTTCCTTTCAAAACTTTTTAAAATTGAAGGGATTTTATTCTTAAACAATTAATAGAAAGTTTTCCTTCCATTTCTCTCCCCACCATTTCCCTCCCTCCCCTCCATAATTTACTATCCAAACAAAAGAAATTGCATCCCTCCCTTTACCTTTTCTTTCTTTTCCCCCAAATCCCTCTATCCAAACAATATGTTAGAGTTATTGTTATGGCATTGGTATGATATTGTTCATTTTCAAAATTAACGTACGCGTATATGTAAGACTAGTGCATGAGCTTCTCTAGATAAATTTTGTATGTTTTCTGTTTCGGGGGTTTTTGGAGTCCTTCGGGAGAGTTACGATTCTGAGTATGCGCGCCTGAGTACCTGCAAAACCACGAAACTCCAGTGGGGTGGAGTTCCGCCTCCGACGATCAAATTAGTATACGTCCGAAGTAGTAAACTGTACGGAAATAGTAAATGTTTCTCCCTGATTCAAAGAGATTCCGCAATAAATATTTCTCAGTTTTTTGTGTTTTTATTTATGGATGTCTAATAAACGAGGATATTCCCCTATTTATAGCAGATGAAGACCTGCTCCCCCATTGGAGGTGCAATGCCATGTGACATCCTCTGATTGGATCCCCTTGGGCCTCTACGAGGCTGACACGTGTCAGTCCCTCATTGGGCCACGTGGCAGGGGTAATTTCTACCCTAAACATTTGTCCCTCACAGGTGTGACGTGGCTTGCCACGCGACACCTGTGACACTTGTCACAATTTGGCCAGGCGACGGTTCGTCTGCTTCCCTCTATTTTTTTGAATTCGAAATTGCGAGGGGTGGTGACGATTCGCCTTCTGGGTTTTCCTATAAATAGGAACCTCCCTCCTCTCATTCCACACTTTTGCCAATTTGTGGAGAGAATTTCTTTGAGAGAAAAGAGAGTACTCTGATTCCGGCTGCTCTTTCTTGCAAACAGCTAAGTTCTAATACGTCCGGGTATCGGTTAAGTGATTCTTTGCTCGTCTCATTAAGGTACCGTTCTAACTTAGTCAGTTTCTTCCTCTTGACTTCTGATAAGGCCGCAACCGGTTTTATACCGTCTGGGGGCGTCTTCAAGCAATTCATCATGAATTGCATTCAATAGACCCGCAGCCGGTTTATACCGTATGGGGCATCTTTAAGCAGTTCCTCATGAATTGCATTCAATAGACCCACAGCCGGTTTGTACCGTCTGGGGCATCTTTAATAAATTTTTTCTTTTGAATTGCTTTGCTGGAGCATCAGCCGGTCTTATAACGTCTGGGGCATATGTAAGCAATTTCTTTCATGACTTGCACTTAGCTTACTCACAGCCGGTTTCATACCGCCTGGGAATCTTTGAGCAGTCTTCAAAGCATCTTTCAGACCCTCGGCCGGTCTTGTGCCGTTTGAGGGGCTTCTGAGCGGCTTCTTTAGCAATTGCTTTTAACAGACCCACAACCGGCTCTACACCGTCTGTGGTAACTCTGTGCAATTTCCTCATGAGCTGCTTGCAATAAACCCCATCCGGTATTACAACCGCCTGGGGTATCTTGGGGCAATTTCCTTCAAAAACGCCAGCCCATTTGCTTTCTTTATAATTTTTCAATACAACCACAACAGGTTTCTTCCGCCTGTGGTATCTTTTGGCCACATTGGTAAATAACGATTGCTTTCTTTGCCAAATTTTCAGTTGTTTAAAGGGATACCGTCTGGGGTATCTTCAAGCAATCGAACCCAAGCTTCTTTCGCTAGCTAGCTTTTTACCACAAGGTACCATCTCTGTTCCTTGTCCCTTGAAACTTTTTAAGTTTTTCTGGCTGCATAGGTTGTTAGAATAATGGATTCTCCCAACACACACACGGCACATTACAATTTAGAGGTCCGCCGGTCACCTGGTACGGCTGAGTCTAGGACTGGGGGTGCCGCCTCTGGGTACTGGGATTCCCCTTGTTCATCTCCAAAATCGACTCTGTGCAGAACGCAATGGCTCGAACTAGGAAAACAGCCGTAGATCCAGAATATAGAGGAGAAACCTCAGAAGAATTGCCGCCTGGGTCTAACCAGGCTGAGATAAGGGAATCTCTGAATGGTACCCCAAGCACTCCCAGTGATGAAATCTTGGGTTTAGATAATGAAAGCGGCGAAGATACCGCCTCTCCATCTATGGTTGAGGAGGGAAGACCTTCTGGTGATGAGAACAGTGGGAAGTCCGCCTCCTCATCAAACTCCGAGCAAAGCAGCAGTAGCAACAGCTATCTTACACCGGTTGTAGATAGCGAGGAGGAGGAGAGACCCACATGGAATAATAAGGGCGGTCCTTTCCTAATTGCCGTCTCTACTAAAGCCGGGCCAGCATGGCTAGAAATCTAGGGGACTTCGTCCGCCTGCGGCCTCTAGGAGAGGGTTGGAAAATTATCGTGCCGTATGAGATGGGCACAATAGTCTGGAAGGACAACCAGCGAAATGCAAACGGGTACTTTGGCTGCTACGAGGCGGTCTTTCTAGCCGGTCTACGCTTCCCTCTTCACAACACTATCAAGGCCATCCTTCGAGGATACGGTCTGGGGATTTGGCAGTTAACCCCCAATTCCCGAGTTAACCTTTTAGATTATATTGCTGCTTGCGAAATGCAGAACACTAACCCCGGCTTGGAGGCCTTCGCCCATATGCATTAACTAAGCCGGAGCCCAGGCGGGTGGAGAGCTTGGTATACACTGACCACCTACCCCCAATACCTGATGAGGCGTTTTTATCCGCCTGTAAACTAAGACCCCAGTTTACAAAACGTAGGTCGCAATAATGCCTGGTCCAATTATGCCGCTTGTGCATATTTTATGTTTTTCTTGCCCTTAATCACTTTTCTTCTAACCAGACGGTTTTTTTTCTTCGGTGAGAGCTTTGACAATGTTGCCCGCAGACAAGACGCCGGCCAAGTCTGTCGCCGACATCCGCAAAGAGAATGCGGAGAAGAAAAGAGCTGCCCAAGTGGCAAAAGATAAAGTATATACACCTGCTTCCTATCCCTTCATATTTTGTGAATTTCCTGCCGGCTGACTTTTGCACTTGCTTTTTGGTTCAGGATGGGAGCAAGGCGCCTCGCTCCTTTACAAAGCTTATCCGACCCCGGCTGGGGGAGGAGACAGCTACTCAAAATAAGGCGAGGAAGACCTCCTCCCAGACAGTTCCCAGCTGGCTGACGGTTGGGGGGAAATCTGTCAAAAATACAGGTTTGAGGTTCGACCTAACCCCCAGGCAGCCGGACGTCCCAGGGGCATCCAGGGAGGCGGCGCTGCCTAGAGCATCCGGCGCCTCTGTACCGGCTGAGGGCAGTCATGACCCTCACCCCATCTC